GGTGCCCCTGCTCCCTCTGTGCCGCAGGGAGCCCTGGCGCCGCTGGAGCAGGCTGCCGAGGCAAAGGCTCCCGCACAGCAAGAGGAGGCAGAGCGGGGGTGCCCCGCTGCCCGGGGGCTGTCCCTAGCATGGCACAGAGCGTCCTGGAGTTACGGCCATGCAGGGCGCAGCTGGGCCAGGGCAGCACAAAGCAGACGTTGTGGGGTTCTCCATCCCGCCCGTTGGGAACGGCCCGAAGTGCGATTTCCTGTTTACATCCTGTGTCCTGGGAACAGCTCCCCCCCCACCGGGTGCGCTGCCTGCATGGCCCAGAGGCATGCGAAGGAAGCCACAGGAGGTGGCTAAGAGGCAGAGGCGAGTTTCCAAGTCTCTGGCCTGGCTCCAGGGATGAGCCCCTTGCCAGAAGCGTCTCCATCTGCATCCAGGGCCTGCTGAGGCCGGAGACCATTTGCTTTGCTGCTTGGCTGGGCCCCATGGAAGCTTCTAGCGTGCAAACAACAGCCAGGCTGCTCCCGGGCCTGTCGCCCCCGGCCGCTCGCCATTGGGCACGGTGGCAGGGAGGTGTGAGGGTGGTGGCAGATGAGCGGGCCAGTTCAAGCAAGGTCGAGGCCCCAGTCGGCGGGGGGGATGCACGGCTCAAAGGCCAGAGGAGCTGGAAGAAGGGCTGGTGGTCTCCTCCCGCAGCCGGGGGGCAGGGCGGGCGGATCACAGGACGGGCGAGAATGCACAGCTAAGGGGCACCGAGCTGCTGGGCTTTGCAGAGAACTGCTGCCCTGCCTGCATGGCTCTGAGTTCACAGAGAGACCTGGGGACGAGGCATTTCCCGGCTGTTCAGCGCTGCACCCTGCAGCCTAACGCCCGCCCCGCTCCCCTTGCTCCGCCATGGGCCCGCATGCAGGGCGGCACTTTCTGGGCTCTAGTTTTCTCCCTCGTGCAGTGCCCTGCCCTGCGCTTAGTCGTGGGCGTCTGACACATGGAGCCACTGCACAAGGTTTCCTCGCTAACCGGCACTCTGGGACTCCCTGATGCTGGGCTGCTCAGTGCGGAGCCAAGGGGACCCAGCCCGGAGACTGCCCCGGGTGTGCAGTGACGCTGTATTGCGTCAGGCGGAAGGGGCTGGTCAGTGCAGAGCCGAGGGGACCAGGCCTGGAGACTGCCCCGGGTGTGCAGTGACGCTGTATTGCGTCAGGCGGAAGGGGCTGGTCAGTGCAGAGCCGAGGGGACCAGGCCTGGAGACTGCCCCGGGTGTGCAGTGACGCTGTATTGCGTCAGGTGGAAGGGGCTGCTCAGTGCAGAGCCGAGGGGACCAGGCCTGGAGACTGCCCCGGGTGTGCAGTGACGCTGTATTGCGTCAGGTGGAAGGGGCTGCTCAGTGCAGAGCCGAGGGGACCAGGCCTGGAGACTGCCCCGGGTGTGCAGTGACGCTGTATTGCGTCAGGTGGAAGGGGCTGCTCAGTGCAGAGCCGAGGGGACCAGGCCTGGAGACTGCCCCGGGTGTGCAGTGACGCTGTATTGCGTCAGGTGGAAGGGGCTGCTCAGTGCAGAGACAGGGGTTATGCAGCCGGTAGCAGAGAGGCCCTGCCCCTGCCCGGATGAAGGGAGCCGTTGCTGTTCTCACAGACAGTGATAAATGAAACTCCCCGCGGGTCGCTGGAGCAGAGGGAGCCCTGCCGGCCGTGGGGGAGCTGGGCTGTCACCCGCTCTGCTGATCTGCCCCCTGCATGCCATCCCCCGGGCGCTGGCCCATTCCCCCGAGCCTTGTGGTCAGCCCCGTCTGGCTGCCCAGGGACCTGGGCATTGGGAATGGGCTCCCTCTTCTGCTGCTCCGCTCGGTCCCTGCTCCCCAGCCCTCACCCCACTCTTGGCTCCCAGAGCAGCTCCTGGAGTTTTCTGCTTTTCTCCCTTTTCAGGGGGAGCCTGGCCCACAGGGCGACCAAGGACGGGAAGGACCGCCCGGCGCGCCTGGAGATCCCGTAAGGACATGGCTGCTTCCCCCCGGGGCCGGGCAAATGGGGGCATGTCGGCTCAGACAGGGAGGCGGCAAGAGGTGGTGTGCACCCAGCCTGGACACGCACCCTCAAGGCGAGAGGTGGCGGGAGGGGCCGTGCCAGTGGGGAGACCTGGACTAGCCTAGAAATGGAGACTGGCTGGTGGTTGGGACATCGTTTCCGCCTGCTGGTGCGAACAGAGGCCAGCCCATGTGTTAGCAGATCTGGGCAGCCGAGCACAGAGTGCTAAGTCTGGGCCAGACCCCGCTGCTCGTACTCACCTGCCTCGGGCTACTGGGTGAGTTGGGTGGGACTTGGCTCCTGCCTCTTTAAAATGGCTCACTCTACCATGTGCAGAGACGAGGGCTCCTTGCTAAGCTGCATGAGTGGCAGCTGCTCTGCAGAGCAGCCACGAGCCCAACAGCTCAGCAACGGGGCCAGAGAACATGGTGTCCCTGCCCAAGGCAGGGCTAGGCAAGGCTACAGACATCCCCCGTGGCTAGGCCAGGAATAATCTGGGGCTGCCCAAGGCCACGAATCTGGTGCAGACCAGGGCTGCCCTCAATCCCGCCCTGGTTGCTTGGCAGTGGCATCATTCAGGCCCAGGGGCACCTGGGAATCTGGCTTTGTGGGGCGTGTCCGTGTGGACAGGGAGCAGGGCTGGAGATCCCCGAGGCCCAGCAGAGCCCCCAGCGCGGTGTCATTGAAGGCAGCTGTGGGGAGAGGTGCAGCGGGGGTGCTGGCAAGCGGGAGGGAGCGGGCGGGAGATGTTTTGTGCCGACCCTGGGTACCGACTCCAGTGAGCAGCAGGAAGGCTGGGCCAGACCCCGACATCCTCAGCTGGCCCAAGCTGTGCTGCAGCCGAGGCATTTCTCTCTCCTAGGCCAGAGGGCCCAGCCCGCTGGCGGCTCCGCGTTAGCTCGGTGCCGGTGCTGGTTCAGAGCGTCTGTGGGTGCCAGAGCCACGGGGGCTGCAGAACAGCAGTTCATTGGCGAGCATGTTCGGCACCTCCCCCACCCTGCTGGCTCAGGCCCTTTGCAAAGCCTTTTGCCACAAGCTGTCCTTTCAAGGGGCTCCTGGGCCCTCCCCATGCCAGCCACTCTGCAGCCAGACTGGCCCCCTCCTGCCCACGCTTTCCCTTTGGGAATAAAGCCAGACGGGATGGTCCAGTTTTCCCAAACCTACAACTGGAGCCTGCCTGAGCAGCCGGCTCCCGGGTACAGAGCTGCACACAGGCGGGGAGGGGCAGCCGGCTCCCGGGCGCAGAGCTGCACATAGGCGGGGAGGGACAGCCGGCTCCCGGGCTCAGAGCTGCACACAGGCGGGGGGGGGGCGGCGGCTCCCAGGGCCCGCAG